AAGTCCTTAAACTCAAAAAATATCAATAACAGAAGAATAGCCTCAAACTATCATAGTTCATATTTACTCGTCGAGAATAGCTTTAAAAATAAAAGAAGAAAACCTACTGTAAAAAACAAAGTAAATATAAGCATATACTTCCTTTCTATATTCAAAAGCTAGTTGACACCAACCCTAGGGAACAAAAATGAATTAGGAACAAAAAGTATGAATTCCAGAACAACATAAAATGAAAAAGAGGAGAGCATAAATAACAACATATTTGATGATAGGGATACATTTATTCCTTACCAAGAGGAGAAATGAAAATCTAATGGAAGAAATCTAATTTGAACAGATTCATCATCAAGAATCAAACACAATCCCCACCTATAATTTTAAAATCTAAATATTTTTTGATGCTAGTGCTTATCAATTTTGATGAAATTTTTTCATTTTAACAACACAACTCATATATTCAATCTTTCAGGCTAAACAAAAAATAGAAATTAAAAATTTGACAGTCATGATTTAGTAAAAAAATAATGTTGGATTTGAACTTGAAAAATACAGAGTAATAAAATTGGTGCCGAAAACACGTGACACTTCAAAACTATAAGGTCCGGAAACCAGGTGACCCTTCTGTGATTTGAAACTGGAAAAATAATGAGCCTTAAACTAACAATGGAACATCGATTCCATATGCATGAATTTCAATATAGGAAATTGCTGAGTAAGAGAGTAAGACATTATAGAATAGACAGAGCATTGAATGGACTCATAAGAGTAAGACAATATTAAAACATATAGAGCACTCAGCGGCTTGGTAAAAAAGTATGACTTTATACATTTTATTTCATTTCAAACCATCAAACTGATCAAAGTAGAATTTGTGTAAGCAAATCACCTGTTAGAAAGAGTATAAAAGGAATGCCAAACATAGAGAACCCTGTAAAATAAATAACATTTCATTCATCTATCAAATATAATTAATATATAGAAGCACAAGTGTATAGTCTTATTTAAATGTATGAAGCCTACTGTTCGAAAAGTTTGAAGCCTACTGTGAAAATCTTTAAAATCTCTGCAACGCCCTTCAAAGCTAAAACAATTGTGTCTGTGTCAAAATAGCTTGCTGGTTAACTATGAGCTGGGAAAATAACAACAAACTGAATAAAATCACATTGATTGGAGTCTGGATAGGATGTGTGGACACACACTTTGAGTCCCTTTCAATAAACAAAAGGAACATTGATAAACATGTAAAGGGAAAAAGGGTATCTACACATGCCACTGCAAGTGTGGGAGTGTGTAAGCTCTGTAGAAAAAGTGACCGCTGCCTACTCATGCCACTGCATAGTACGGAGTATTTGTTTAGCGCAAGCAATACATAACTAATCAACATTTTTCCATAGTTTCATTTACAAAACACTTGTTCCAAAATTGTAAAGAAATGACCCAAACCCGATAGTTTGATCATCAGACTTGTTATCCTTCATAATCTTTATAAATAAAATGGCTCTGTAGACCTGAAGCAACATCTAAAGGAAAACCATGGAAGCGGAATGCAAAAATTGGTAGGTAAGTGATTATTTCGTCCAACCGACGCAACTGGAAGGTTGCAGAATCTTAGATAGCTCTCCAGGCGGAAACAGAAACGGAATCTAGACGGACTACTCTCCCTCAAATCTGTCTGGGAACCCTATACAAAACCTAA